ATCTCCACGCTTTTCCCAACCAAGAGGGTGGGTACTCTGCCAAAACCGGGTCCATTTGCAGGGTAACGAGATCGCAGTCTTCTTCCTTTTCGCAAACAGCGGAATCTACTAAGGACAGCGGATATGAGTGGCACATCTTCGTCAGCTACCGGAGTGGTAATTAGTTATTGGTCGCATTCCTTATCATTTTTTTGAAACACTTTTTTCTCCCCTCTGTCCTCTATCCCTCCCCATGGACTCGAATGAAAGTCCGGTCCCTTTCGGAACGATAACTCTGGGTTACTTCTTCCCCTGATGATCCAGTCAAAGTGAGGATTGGTGAAAAAGCTTTTGGGAAATCCCACTAATAACCCGAATGTTTCGTCGGCTCTATGGGGTCGTTCGGCCGAATTGGGACCACCCTTTTCTTTCTTTCTTGTTTTTTTTTTTTTTTTTTTTTTTAAGTGATTATTATGGAAGGTCTGTTGCACTCTATCTCCCCCATCTGTCTGGATTGATGATTAACCCATGTTTGCTCCGTTATTGTGGTGGTGTGTGCGTGATGAATGAGTCGTGTCATAGGAATTGGCGCATGCTTCCTAGCCGTAGCGAAGTTAGAAGCCTGAAGACTACTAACCCATGGACGCTGCGCATGTTTCAGTTGCCATCGTTGCAATCTTCGCGATCTTTCTCGCATTGTTAGCCTTCTTCGTGCTTATGGAATTTTCGACTCTCCGATGCAACGAGTGCATGTCGTATTGCAACGCCAAGAACTCTACGGGAAGGTCTGCACAATCAAAGTTCTGCACTCGGGAATAGGGCTGTGGAGGTTGTAAGGATGTTGATCTTCGTTGTTCTGGGTTTCTGGATTGTGATCGCTTCGATGGCGTCCTTCGTGGCAGTTGATTTACTTCACCTTTCGCTAGGGGTTTCGAGGGAGGAAGGACGTGTCTGTCTAGCTGCTCCAGGGCAATGGGTGATTGCATGGGGTCTGCTCGCCATAGCTGTTGTGTCTCTTTGCTTGGCTCTGCGAACGAGATCGTCTTCGGTGATGTGTTTTTATTGCGCTCCACCCCATAATTAGCTTGGTATGACATGGCGCATGAAGTATCCATGGGTCTCGCCATGTGCATAGCTGGTTGTACACGAAGGGTAAATGCGTGATGAGGCGCGACGTAGTTTTATGATGGCATCTGCATCCTACGTCGTATCAGTTTCCGGCTCAGGAATTGCCATCATCAAGGAGGTCATGTAGAAGTCACCAGGTTATCAAGATATGAAAAGATGACAAATCCGGTTTTTGATAATGCGCTACGAGCATGTTTTGGGTCTTCCCCCCTCTTTTTCGTCATCTTCATCCTGCTTTTTTCTTTCCGCCCCCTCCATCTCTCTTGCTCATGTCTCTACCTGACTTTGAGTCGACATGTCTCATGCTCGAGTTTGATTTGTGTCTCTTGCCTATAAAGTGTCAGGATGCATGCATTTTAACGGTGTTTTGATCCTCTGGTAATATGGCGCTCGCCGGATGATGAAAGAAAATTGGAGGTTATCCATGATGGACTGTACTTACAGACCATTCACAGATTGTGCAAGGAACATGAATATGGACGAAGCACAGAAATCCAGAATGCAATATCACACTGAAGTCCAAGTAGTCAAAGCCAAAGCAGATAGTACAATGGAACCGAGTAACCATCCAATTGAGAATGATACAGAAGAATCGTGAGTCAATGTCCATGCCCAACAGGGCAACACCAACAGCATAACCCAAACGTAGCTCTCTCTTGTGAATGGCGCCAGGCGCCCTATCTACTCTACAGCCTATCCTACAACTACAGCAATGAAAGCAACCAGACAACTTGACTACCAGCGAGTGATGATGTCAACACCAATGCCGACCTCCTTCATCCACACTCTTCCCTGTTACCCACACAGCGCCCTTCACCTCCGAAGACCACCTTCGCCCTTCACCCTTACTACACCCTCATGCGGCCCGGCTATGGCTGCCAGTGCTTTGCAGCGCCGCACCGCCTAGCGCTGGCCTGCGTTGCACCTCTCTTAGCACAGCGCAGCAGCAGCAGCAGCTTGCATTTGCGCAGCGTGCCGGCATTGCCCGCAATGGCCAAGATCCCTGCCCACTCGCCCTGCTTGCCTATATGCCAGTGCAGCATGTGGGCGGCCTCCCTTCAGCCTGTGACCGGGACCCAGAGGCTGAACCAGCCCGATACAGTTGGGCCCCGGGGCAATGCAGTTGCGCCTCCTTCATCAAGGCCTGCGGCCAGATTCAGACAGTGGGCCGATTTCCCTTTGGCATTTTCGGCCTCTATACCCAGCATGCATTGTCGGCCTCACATTCGAGTGCCCAGGGCCTAACTAACTCAGAGGCCCTGGGCATTTCAGCATTTGCTGAAATCCGAGACTCGGTGCACTCCAACCAACTGGCGTGCTGCAACTGTATGGACCCCACTTCGTGAAATGTTGGCACAGAGGGCTCTCGTTGATTTGCTGGCCCGCCTTCACTTAGGGCGGGCACGAGGCTTGCTGGGGCCTTAGCCCAGAACATGTACATCATGGCAAGGCCCCTACTTGAGGGCTCAATCCTCACAATTGTCTGCGTAAGAGTTTGCTTTGTATGCTGTTGAATTTCTCCCATTTACTTAACCTGCTTCTCCTTCCGGGTGCAAGGCTTCGTATGATCTTAGTATGAAATCCTATACCACCTTTCAAAGCTTGGGGGCAGGCGCTATCTGAAAAAAATCCTCTACGACCTTTCAAAGCTTGGGGGCAGGCGCTATCTTAGTATGAAATCCTATACCACCTTTCAAAGCTTGTTTTGTATTGAAATCCTCACCGACCTTTCAAAGCACGGTGGTTTTTAGCCTGTGTTAAAATAAGTGCTTGACATGATGCACTCTTCTTATTTCTCCTCCCGCTTTTTTCTCCCTCCGCCTTGGTTGAGGAGTTCTTTCACGAACTCGGTTCACCCATGAATTGTTTTCCTACCAATCCTTGTTGGCTGCCATCGCTTTACGAAATACCTTGCCTCAGATGGCCGTGAGTATAATCAGCATGGATAATGACGAGAGAGGAGGTTTTGCTGATTGCAATCCCTGGGTATTAATGCTTTCGTTCCGATTGCCAAATTGAGTCAGATTGTTATTTGTTATGGTATGTTGGCATTTATGCGCGTTTTTGAAAGAGTGGCTCGCTGTGATTCATCTCACAGTAGCGTCCTGTTCTCTTAACACACACACACACACACACACACACACAC